TGGTTCTGGAGACAGGGAAATCTAAGATCAAGGCACCAGCAGATTCATTGTCCAGTAAAGTCTAGTTTTGTAGTTTGCAGTTCGTGTCATCTTACTGTTCTTTACATGGTATTTGTAATTAAGAGTTGATGATACAGGGCTGGGGGTATAGCTCAGTTCTAGAGTGCTTGCCTAGCATGTGCAGAATCCTAGGTTCAATCCTCAGTACAGCACAGGAAAAAAAAAAAAAAAAAAAGATGTTCAGGAATACAGTCCGGCATGGAGATTTTCGCATGTTTTATAACATCTCAAGAGTAGGTATCTCAGATTTTTATGTTGTACTCTTGTGATTAAAATCCTGAACAATACACCAAATCCACTAAATGATAAAAGAAAAATATAAGGGTTTGTCTGTTTGAATACTAGCCAAAATTAAAGGAAACTGACATATTATTAGTAGAAACAGCTCTGTTTCAGAAATTAAGTTTATTTTAGAAATTAATTTCAAGCCTGTTTGAAAACAATTGTAATTCTAATAAGAATTACAATTCAAACCATTATGGATGATAAATATGTAAAAGCATTTGGTCTGGAAATTAAATTGGAACAGAGCAAAGAAACTCATGCTATGAAATCCACTCTGGTGGAGTGAAATGTCTGTTTTGCAGAGAGGATTTTGGTCCRAACTGCTAATCATTGAAAACACATTCATATTCTGTAACCACCATGATAATCATATAAACTTGGCATTTATTCCTCAACCTTCTTTCTTCTTAAAAAAAAGAAAAAAGAAAAAAAAGTCTTTCAAATCCTTATTTTTTAAATTAAAAATTTTTGAGCATCCAACTCCCAAGGGATGAACATGTGCAAGCAAACCCATTTGCACATTCTTAATCCTCTTTGATCCAGACTACATGGAATCTAATAGGAAGCCCTAAATTCAAGGCCAGCATCTTCCTTCTTGGTATAACTTACCCATGTGTTTAAATCTGAATTGCAGTTTTTCTAACTGCAGTAACTGAAACAAGTCCAYTCTTGTTCCCAAGACCCACACTAAGCCTACATGTGCAAGGGGGCACCAACCAAGTAGCAACCTTCAAACAGTAGGAAAGGTGAACTTTTGAAAGCATCTAAAGTCATGTGTGAGGARAAAGCTAGTACTTAGTTTCCTCTCACCCTCTCACCTTATGTCTTAAGTAGTTATATTCATTTGCTAGGACTACCATATCAAAGTACCACAGACTGAGTGAGTTAAATGACAGAAATTTATTGTTTCACCATCCTGGAGTCTAAAATCAAAGCATCCATCCACAAGGTTGGTTCCTTCTGAGGGTTGTGAGGAAGAATCTGTCCCATGCRTCTCCCCTAGTTTGGTAGTTTGCTGGCAATCTTTATGGTCTGTTGGCTTGAAGAAGCTTCACCACAGTATCTGCCTACATTCACATGAGACTCTTCCTATGTGCTTATATGTCTCCAAATCGCCACATTTTATACAGATTATCAGTCATTTTGCATTAGAATGACCCTAATGTAACTTGATTATCTATATTAAAACCCTATCTCCATATGAAATCATATTTTAAAGCACTAGGGGTTAAAATTTTAATGTATGAATTTAGAGGGTGACACAATCCACATTAATTTATATTCAAATCCATAGCAGTAAGATTTGAATATAAATTAAAAGGACCCGAGAAACTAGTTGATGACAACGTCCTTACTGTTTAACATGAATTATAATCACTAGTCATACGACAGGTCAGAACCTGCCCTCCTACTGAGAACTTCAGTTTCCCTCAGTCAATAGACATCCCCAAATTCTCTATGGGTCAGATGCCCATATCACTGTAATGCCTAGTCTGCATTGGCACATACATACCTAAGAAAATGCCACCTGCCCATTTTGCAAATGGGAAAATTAGACCCAGGATGACCAAGTAGGCTATCTGATCCAGTTAAGCAAGTAGCTTATGTACCAAAAAGAGAGTCTAAAAAAGCTTCTGCTTCAAAACCCAGCTCATTTCCTCCCTTACATACTTACGTATTTCCTTGTATTTTATTTTCCTAAGGGCTTTACAGAAATTTCTATCATTTGCAATCTGTTCTTCTTAGTTATATGAATCTATTTTCTTTTAGCATTTTTCTTTCCTTGACTTAAAAAAAGAAAATAAAGAACCAGCTTTACTAAAAACATGCTGMAGCTCTCCTACACGTCAGTAAGCACAGAAGCTAAAATTGCCTTCCTTCACTGCACATAGTGTCATCCATCTAATGGTGTAATCTAGGGGAATAACCTCTGGTTTGACGATGCAAGTGCTCATCTTTAGGACTGGATGACTTAGATCTAATGTGAACAYGAGTCCTGGGATTTTAAGATTGGGGGTATCCTTAGATATCACCCAGGCCATCTCTCTCTTAAACCAAATGGTGGTAAAAACTGAAGCTCAGAAAGGTCAAGGGTCTTTCCTGGCATCAAAGAGAAAGATTGTAATAAGTCAAGCCAAAAACAATTCTATGCTCCTGCTGAGTCCTCATGCAGGGACCTTTTTATCTCTGCCTATGTCAAGTATGTTATTCACCCCTTGCTTTAATAGTCTCAAAGCTAAGCAATAGTAATAGAATGGTGGGGTGTGAAGATCATGTCTACTTCATTTATAGGGGAGCCTCCTACATGCTGTATACCAAGCATCACTCTGATTGTGAGAAAACACATGGGTGTTTTCAAATCTATTTTTAGAGAGTAGGATTATTGATGGTCTCTTCAAATCTATTTTTAGAGAGTAGGATTATTGATGGTCAACCATATCCAAGGTTCTGGGACTAGTGGACAACATGGCTCTAGTTCCTGCCTTTTTAAATCCAGGTGATAAGACAAATATGTAAATCATCACAAGCAATTAAGTAAAAAACAATTACAATATGCAGAGATGAATGAGCTGCTATGGGAATACATTGCTGAGACACCCACTTTGCAGAARATTATAAAGGAGAACTTCCCTGTAGCACTAGTGTTTAATCTGAACTCCAGTGAGTATGTAACGGTGTGCTGACAGACATCTTCCATCAGAGGAMATGGCATAAGGAGGATCAAAGGTACTCAGCTGAAAGATGTACCATATGGCTAAAGCAGAGGGAGCGAGGTTACAGTTTCATAGGTTACACGAAACTAGTTCACCAGATCTGGACAGGCTATGTTAAGGGTTTAGGATTCCACTTACTGTATTTAAGCAAAGGAAAGACGTGATCAGAGTTTTATTTTTAAGTGATCATCTCRGTATCATAATGAGATGGATTGAAAGGACAGCATGGAGGGAGACCAGGTGGGAGACGACCATGTAGGCCAGGTGCGACTGTGCACGCAGCATGTGCTCAAGATCCCCTGACTTAATTCAGTAGTACTCTTTATTCCAGTGACACATTTTGTCTTTTTTTAATGAAAGGAAACTCAGTCAAGACTACTCTTAACGAAAATAATGCAAAAAAAAAAAAAAAAAGAGAGAGAGAGAGAGAGCAGCCACTTGATGGATAATTAAAAATAATTATTTTTCTGTCTCATTGAAGAAAGCTTTTTTGTTGTTGTTGCATTAGGATTGTAATTTCAAATTGTATTCAGGCTAATTGCAAACATCTAGTTGTAAAGAGTTTTGATTTAAATAATACATTCTCTGTGCAAATGACATGAGTGAGTCATCAACTCAACTAATCCAAGTAACGGCACAGTGTCATCCATTGTGTTTGTGTTCTTGTGCTCTGTGTTAATTTTTTCACTTATTAATTTGGTGAAAATTGGACAGTGTAAATGTATGGAATACATCAAATAATGTATTGATTTCCTGAGCGGATCCAAAAACATTCTGCCAAATTATTTTGATGATTCCTGTAATGATGAGGTATCATAAATGACCATGTGCTTTCAGAGAAATTTACCTGGTGTCATTTTTTAAAGGCTTTCAAAAAGGATCCTTTTCACATAAATAAGTTATCTTGTTTTCTTAAGGAGCCCAATAAGCAGTTTCTATAACCCAGTGTGATATAAGAYCTAAGCATAACATATGGATGAGTGCTACCATTTATTATTCTCTTTTTGACAATTTGAATTATCTTTTGGATATTACTCTGAAAGATAAATCAAACTGCTTAAAAGTGGAGCTCAAAATTGGAAAATTGAAGTTCTAAGTGCTTTCATCTTGACTAGTAAGTGCTCTAAGCTTTGAGTTAACTTTATGACAATGGACTCTTTAGTGAGAGATGTTAAACTAATACAATATGCAGGTCTTGGGAGTCGAAGTTGAGTATGAATTTTTATATCTACCCAGTCAGATGAGAGCCCAATTCAGCATATATATAAACTTCTACACTATAGTTCTTTCAGACAAACAGTATAATACATTCAACCAACTACCATTGAATAATTATGAATTTTTTTTTTGGAGAAAAATCAATAGGTTTTTTTCTTTCAACRACTATTGTTTTGGATGTCATTATTTTTACCTCATTCCTTGGGGTGTAGCATTTGTAAAGAAAATGCATTTTTCTCATTTTCCTTTTGACTTAAAGGCTCTTGCCAAAATAATGTAGAATATTCATTTTTTTCGTTCATCTTGGCCCATGGCCTTACAAGTGCTAGAGTTTCTGGTTTTGAAGGGGGTGGATTTGTTTGTTTTCTCTCTTATTTTTGATAAAGGCAGCACAGAAAGACTTACCATAAATTAACTTTTCCCCAGCCACTTCCTTTTGAAATCCCTGGTCTGACTGTTAAAAACAGTGTGGTGATGATAATCCCGTCACCACTCCACTCCATGAGACTGAATGATAAGGAAAAGCCACATATCCGCTGCATGTTCTCAGGGCAGGGGACCCTTAAATGGAAACAAGGAGGCATCTGCCCTAACCATTCCTGTCTGCCAGTTCTGTTTTCAACATGGACCTCTGTGTGTCCTTTAAGCATCCCACCATCTTCATAAACATACAGACCCAGGGGAACGACAACAAATCTTATTGTACCTGTTTATTTCTTCTAGATTGGACGAATTGAAGATTTTCTATACCAGTTAGAGGACAGTTTCTTAAAGACTAAAAAGCTGAGAACTGCTCGAAGGCAAAAAACAAAAATGAAACGGCTTCAAACGGTGCAGCAAAGCTAGTCACTAAGGAGCAGGCCTCACCATCAGACGTCCCAGGGAAAGAGACCAGGGTGTCCACCCAGCCCGACTGTCCCCAAGGGCATGAGGTGCTCCATCCCTTGGCTYATGGCAAAGACATTCTATATTCATTAACCTCAGCTGGCATCAATAAATGTTCTTGGCAAGTTTGGCTTGACTCTTGTTCATATTTGTCTTGTTTAGTTAAATAGATTATAAAATAAACATTGTTGTCTCTTTTACCTRCCTTTTCTTTCAAAAGTGACTAAGGTATATCAGGTCTACCCAAGAATGCCTATAATTTGCATCTATATTCATGYGTACTCACTAAAAATCATTCACATATGGATATATGAACAGATGACATAAATGCAAATTTAAAATTACAAAACTGATAATCTACTTTTGATCCTTATGGAGATGGTCATAGGATGTTTGGTATATCATCATTAAGGTGTCTCATTCCATTCTTTCTTCTGGGTCTTTTAGATTGTTATTTTCCCTGTGCCTTAAGTGACGCAACACAAATTCACATATTTGACAAGGTTGTGAATCAAGTGCCACCACTCAAGACTTCAACTAATCACAAAGGGGAATGAGACTAGGGAGACTAGGATGAAATCAGACACAGAGCAAAATAAACAGAAAGACACAATTTTTTAAATAGTGAGAAAATAAATAGGCTCTCATAGTACACTGATAATAAACAAGAATAAAAAGGAACAAAATAGTGATGAATCTTTCTTTATACAATGATATTATTAAAGAACCCAATCAGTTCTACTGTCATGTATGACTAAATAAATAAATAAACAAATAAATAAATAAATAAAAATAAATTTCAAAGGAAAAAAAAAAGAACCCAATCAGTAACTTGGGTCTTAATGTATGTTAGATTTATGTAGTCATGGTAATGCAAAATATAAATATGTTTACAAATTTAGAAATAATATAATCAGGACCTTCATTTCCCTGGGGACACTTGCTGAACCCTAACTTTTAACAAATACTTGCCTCTTTCTACCCCACCATATAAGGAAAACCCACATCTAAGGCCAGCACATTGGCTGGAGTTACGTCAATAACAAATTCAATTAAAAACAGTAAATTTTACAAGCTCCCTTTGTTTTAAACTCATACTAGAATGGCATCTCAGTCCTTTCTTATAATTACTGAAAAACTATTTTCTTTTTAAGAACACTGGAGTTTAGCCAAATGTTGGAGTCTCAGATAATGGGTCAGCCTGCCATCTGATCCTTGCTGCTGTCACTCTCTCTGACCTTGTCCAGGAATCTCCCATTATTAAAAAGGTAAACAAATAAAAATTTGATGACAAGAAATATGCTATTTCTCCATCATTTTCTTGGGCATGAAGATAATGGATTTCATTCTGTAACATTTGAAAGACATTAAAAGCAAGCCCAAAGAATGACATCTTGGCCAAGCAGAAGCCATATACACTTGACAATTCAACCAGATTTCAATATTAATTGTGCAGTAATGCTTTGATAATCTCAGTTTTCTTTCCCTCTGCAATTTGCTGAGTCCCTGTATATTTTTACTAATGCCTCTGCATGGAGAGCAGAGCTATGCTGATGTCTAGTGCTGAGAGCAACTTGTCTTTCAAAATATCTAAACAGGGGCTGGGTCTGTAGCTCAGTGGTAGAGCACTTGCCTCATACATGTGAGGCCCTGGGTTCGATCCACAGCACCACATAAAAAAAATAAAATATTGTGCCCATCTGCAACTAAAAAATATTTTAAAAAAAAAATATTTAAGTGGTTTTTTTCCCAACCTGCCTACCTTAAAATGATTAAGTATTTCCATAAAATGTGTTTGGGAGATTACCACTGGATGTTCTTCTGGACAAAACAGAGTTCAAAAGTCCCACCTCCAAAGGAGAAATTCCAAAGGAGGCTTCCCACCACCACATAAAATCCACACACATTCTAGTACATATCTGCCTTAATTCCAGGTACTTGATCATTTTGGGTCATATTTCAAGGCATTTTGTTGTGTTTATTGGCAAGGATAGTACAATGTCACTGACATACTCTTCAACACAGTTTTCCCTTATTATTAACACATTGTCATATTTGCTTTCTCTCTGTCCCTCTGTATTCCTTCTCTTCCCTTCCCTTCCCCCCTACTCCCTCTCAAGAAAAATCCAGTCAGGCATGAACCATCATGCCCATTATCCCAGCAATCAGGGAGGCTGAAGCAGGAGGATTGCAAGTTCAAAGCCAGCCTCAGCAATTTAGGTAGGCCCTAAGCAATTTATTGAGACCCTGTATCAAAATTTTAAAAAAGAGAGAGAGAGAGAGAGAGAAAGAGAGGACTGGGGATGTGGTTAAGCACCCCTGGGTCCAATCTCCAGTGCAAAAGAAAACCCATTGTTAGCTAATAATAAATGCATTATGCTAATCCCCCATTTGTAGGTCCAATTTTGTTCTCTGTATCAAATAAGAAGTTACTTAGAAACTGTTTGGGGAAAAGCTTGGGACAGCATACACCACCACATTGTCCATCTCCTCATTGCTGGCCTTTATGTAGCACAGCTTTGATGACCACAGAAGCATTCAGCAGGGTCAGGGCCTTTGCAGAAGGAAAGGCAAGTAGCAAAGACTGCTTTTTTATTTGACTCAGAGCTGATAGTGCATACTTTTATATATCTGTTATATATCTTCAAGGGTGGCAAATCTGTGATACAGTTTTTGAAAATAGCCAAAAGATACCCAGAACCCAGCTTGATGCACAGAACCGATGGTTACTGTACGATGGCACTGTGTGGGCAGGATCATGGGGATGCATGAAGTAGGGACACACAAAGGCAAGCATCCCAACGAGATGACTGTGAAGAGAACCACATATGTCTTCACCTCTGCAGGCTGGTGTGTTTGTTTTTTAGAATAATCCATCTTGCCAAGCACTCCTACATGTTTCTAATGGAACAGAATTGTATAAATTTAAAACCTATACAGGTAGCAATTTGTCAGCCTGTATCCAGAATCTTAAAGATGTTTACACTTTTTGCCTCAATAATTCAACTTCTAGGAAACTATACTAAAGAAATAATCAAATATGTGTTAAAAGGTAAAAGCTCAAGAGTATTTTCCACAGAGTTATTTCAAAAGGAAAGATAACATGAACCCAACCAAAATTTCCCAGCATAGGTAATAGATTAAATGATTTATGAAAGTCTATTCCATGCTTAATCTAATAATATATAAAAATTTTATAATCTTAAGAGAAAAAAGAAGTAAAACTATATATACCATGATTATAACTAGATTATAAAATATATGTACATAAAAGACTGGAACAAAATACAATAAGTTGTCAAGAATGGTTATCTTTTGTGCGAGCACTTACAGGTGATTTTTTGAAAATCTTATCATTAATATTATACAATATGTTCCTTGATAATAAAAATAATCTTTCAAAAATATTATTTAATATCACTCCCAAATAGATTCAGATCAGCTTTTCATTCCCTGTTTGAAAGAAAAACTATACATCCTAATTCTTGCATCACAAATAATGGCTATTGCATAGACAGAGATTGAAGGGAGTATTTTGCTTTACAGAATTATTTAAGCACAAACACCATTACAACACCTCCACCAGAATCCCTGATGCAAGAATCCCTGGTGCAAGTCCCCAGGGCCACTGAATTAACTATTAAACAGAGCGCCAATTATGGTGTTTCATCTGTGTTTACAAAAAAACAACAGTGCAGTATGTGGGTTGTCCCTTATCACTGTTGCTTGTGTTCCTCTTAACTTTCCCTATGATTGTTTTGTTCAGTTCCTTCCCTGTACTCACAAGCCATCATCTCATGAAATATGAGATGATCACAGACCAACATCCCTTAAATCAAAATGTATTGAAAGTTGAGAGACCCCTGGCAGAGCACAGCTTTGATTTACAGAGGCTTGATTCATGGAGATGGTATGATGGAGTCTAAGTTCAATCAGATATTTCACAAGTTGCCTGATCTACTCAGCAGTTCCCGGGGCTCTTGGACATGGATACAAAAGACTATTGTGCAGCCTTGACAAGCAGCAGATTGTCAAGACAGAGTGTAATGACACCTGGAGGCAGGCACACATTTTTGACAAGCCATCAGAGGGAAGGAAAATCAGAAAACTGACCCACAGAGCATCCTAAAGTTATAAATATAAGCATATTCTGCTTGTTCCTTAATGAGTGGAATCCAGAGACACTAAAACTGCCTGAAATAATCAGAGCTCAAAAAAAATCATTCTTCACATACATTATAAAATAAATGGTATGTGCACTTGAAAATTAAATATTGGATATGTGTTTTTGTTGTGATCTCCTATTGATCCAAGGCAGCTTGCAGAATTAATATGCATTGCTGATCATGACTTTAAATTTATTTTTAAATATATTTTGGGGGAAGAAGAAAGGCAAAAATTGAGTAAGGAAAGAGAGGACTGCATCCCTGTGTGGATAGCTCATCTGTCTTTTCTTGAAGGTTTGTACAACAGGTTTACAGACATGAATAATTGTTTCAGATCCTGCTTCCTTAAAGCCAAAGGAGAACACAAGTGTACTTTAGCGTAACTCTTAAATGTAAAGTACTAAGAGCAATTTCTCTCCTGGGCACTWCTCAGTTCAAGTTAGCTACTGCTGCTGGAAGCAAAATGGGCTTAAATTTTGAAGACCTGAGTTCAAGTCCTAGTTCCACCTCATGAGGTTTTATTAGGGAGCAAATGAGATAATGAAATATGAAATGATGTTTTAAACACTGAAACAATCATACTTACTTTCAGTGAAAACTCACTATAAACCAGGTACTGTCCCATTTGGTCCTCACCAGGAAGCTGAGATAGGAAACGAAACGTTACTGTCTTTTCTCAGAGGAGTAACCTGTGACCCAGAGCTTCCTTACAGATAGAAAGTAACAGAGCTAGAATCCTTGTCCAGGCAGCTTCACTCCCAAATAGGGACTTGATATAATGTTCCTTTGTGTCTTATTATTATTACTGATTTTAGGAATTTGCAGGTCCCAAGTAACATTCGTATTGCACATGCCTGAGGTAGC